TGTATTGGGCTTTAGTGGTCTGATATTTTCTATCCTAAGTGTATAGCTACTGTTATACTGAGAACTATTAAACCGAGAAATAGAACCTATTGTAGCATTGTTGAGGCCATTCCAACATGCCCACCCCAATGAACAAACCACACTAACGCATATTTCTGTACGCAACTAAGCAGCATCACTTACGCCCTCCACGACCAGAAACAACATTCGAGTGGTCAGCACAGCACCAGCAGTCTTTCGACGAAGACAAAACTCTTGCTGCCTCCATCATGCCTACGTCAAGTGCATGCCCCTGTCAGCTTTACTACAGCCCAACAAAATCCTCCCTGACAACACCCTCGACAAGTATTCCTTGCAGCCCATGGCGTACAGCTCCAAAAGCCTCACCCCCACTGGGAGACGAAACGCACAAATTCCAAAGAAATTTCGTGCCATCAAGCTTGAACAATGGCTGCCCGGCGAACCAGATGTCACGGTTCACACAGACCACCAACACTTCAATTCATTTTCCACAGGGACCTGGTAGCCTCCCCAAGCACATTCAAAGAGATAATGCTCTTCCTACAACGCTGCAACTCTGCTGCCGTCTACAAACGAGGCTCGTCCCTACACTTTCCAGCGACCTGACACTTTTCACTTGTTCATAACAAAATTGCCAAGCTGGACTCAACATCACCAAGGGCCAAAGCCTTATACCCGGACATGTAGGTGCTTGAGTACAACATAACACATGGTAGGGCGCCAACAAAGGATCACTTACTAGCCCGGCTCCTGTTATTCTGGAATTTTGAGACGAGCTCAGCGTCGCGGATTGACCTCTTAATCATCAGGTCAGCCCGGGCAAACGTGCGATTAAACATGTGACGCAAGATCCATCAATCTCGCAGTGGTTGTGAGTACTTCCTTTCTTTTTGCTCGAGACGCAGTTTTCGGATCCAACATCTGAAATTTATCAAAGCTCTTAGTTACTCCTGCTCGCTACGGAAAACAAGCCCGCGCGGAAGCTATGCCTCCTCACCCTAACGCGACAAGACCTTGAGAATCTGTCCCAGAAGACATCTCTGGGCTCGAAAACACATACTATCACATCACAATTGACAACTACAGCTAGCGATTTCTACGCACTGAAACAGCTCTCCAACACCCAATCTCCCTGTGATTAACAACACCATAGTTCACCTTGCCATCCACGGCATTCCATTTCGTTGCCTCACGGATAATGGTCCAAAGTGCATCTCAATCACACGTCCCTACAAGCAGTTTGCCAGCACATAAAGTTTCGAATACATCCGTCCCTCCCCCTACTGGTCCCGCAACTTTCGCGGCCGCTTATCAAGTAGTCTGAGGGCATCTATCTGGCGATTCTTGACATACACAACACCCTTCCCCGTGGCCACACCTCTTTACCCTCACAGCGACTAATGGGTAAACGTGCCCATTCCACCATACCTGTACAAACAGACCTGCTCACGCCTAAAACTTCGTCCCCCACCCGTCCCCGCGTGATAATTTTCAGCAGAGCCGCAGGAAACGTTCAGCACGACAAACACAGGCAACCGTTCTGCAGTCAACTTAGCTTCGCGCTACAGCGCTATCACAAGATAGAGCCCAGCAACCGGCTTACACCCTCAACTATTACCAGTAACTACAATTTCACATCCTAGACCTGATCTCACAGCCCCAGTTAATATTGAGCTTCAAGCGCCGACTCGACCACTACAGGAGACTATACCCCAGAAGAAGTTGCCAGATTCTCCTGCAGCGAGCACTCCTGACCCGCTTTGCATCAGTAGATTTCGGAAAGCACTCCGAAGACCACAAAAAATAGAAAACATTCACTTTCATAAGCGATGAAGAACCTCTCAGTGTCAACTTGCTTGTGTGTTAAAAAGACACATTGAACTCCGCGACCAGAGGGAATTGTATCGTTCATTGTATTGTCCAGCAAAGCAACTCTTAGGTTTGATAAAAGTAGGAACTTAACATTTTATATAAACTGACTATTAGCATGTGTGTAGCCTACGGCCATACGTTTCTTTGCTGTACGCGTGAAGCACAGAAAATTGGAGACGTCTGCAGGCAGGCTACCTCTGGCGACAAGATTCGTGCAATGGTTGCCACTAGAATGGATACCTTCCAATATCAGGTTGCCAACTTCACGTAAAAATGTGTGAAGAAGGTCGTAACTTAAAGCATTGGTTAAAAAGGAAGAAAACAGAGTATGCAAGGCTTATCTAGGCTTGAACGCGCGCATCATTTGATTTATAACGCAAATTCTTATAACCACTACACCATCAAGCTGTGCTAACTGCATCGGTTGTTTTGGCGTGGTCTACATGGCCTTAGTCATGACATTATTTGAAAGCTAACCGATTTTAAAACAGTGGCAAGGTGCGATCGCTTGACTTCGATGCTAAGCCCTGAACGCAACTCTTGGGTTTCCTTGCTTAACCGGAACTTTCCAATTTTTTCACCCTTAAGCTTTTCTGAATAAATGTTCTTTACAAGGGGTATTGTGTTGTCTAATAATCACGAGATGTGCAACATGAGTTTGGGGTATCCATCCCAGTCACTACCTCTGTGTAACTTTAAAATTGTGCTGCGCGTATAACTCAGAGATCTTCTACTTGACAGCTTAATTCGGCACGGATACCTTTCTCAATGCTATCATCATTGGCAACGAGGAAACGTAACCCACAATACCATTTTTGTAAATGCTGTTATTTCATTTCCGAATTGCGAACGATCAAACGTGATAACTGTTCAAACGGTTTGTCTTTTCTTGTTAAAATGTTTTTGAAAGGCACAAATTGTAATTTTCAAGAGATTCAATCTGGCGAGATACTATTGCGATTCCATGAAAATTGTTCGTCTTTATTATTCGAGGCTGATACCAAATTATAGTTTTCTCGTTTACTTTTAAGCAGGTCTCTTTAGCTTTAAAAATTGTATTGAGACGATGGTTCATCATTGCTAGGTCAAATCATCCTGGTTTTCGTTTCGTCTGCTTCTTGCTTTGTAGTGGAGTGACAACCTTCCGCTGAGCACCGCTTTTATGAACATCATCTCTGCTGGGCATCCTCCAAACCTCTTTCCTCGACCCGACATTGTCGTTATAACAGCTGCAGGATAACCCAGGAACTTTCCAGTCGCAGCCATGCCACTCCAAGTCTTCATCAGTATTTACGTATGCATGGGTTTTCTTTTCTGCGGTGCCTTGGTTCTCGAGTTTGTACTGAATACAAGACTTTCCTTTGCAGGAACACCAACCAAGCTTAACATGACAGTCGTCGTCGCTGCGACAGCCCGCTGCAGCCAGGGTGCACTCGAACTCTGGAGACTGCCTCGAGGAGCCTTTGGTGTAGTCAAATTTCTGTAAGGAAACGTCTCCACTTTCTTTGAAACGACAGCCGTAATTCAGGTAGCCGAGGTAGTAGTACTGTAAGTTTACTGCTCTGATATAGTTGTCTGAACCGGTCTGGAAACGACTTTGCAGAATATCCCACAGAGACCTAAAAGTATGCCCAACAGACGCTTCGGTTTCGTTGGCTTCGTTCAAAAATTCCTCCATCAGTTTTTCTGTCCTCTTTGTTCTCAGAGCGTTTCGAGTTTTCTTGGACCCTCCTCTAATGACGAGTTTATCTTCAGTGTTCATCTTGGTCACATTTGCTATTTCGCT